TCAATGTTTTGTTAACAATATATAAAGGGTTTTGGATGTGTTGTGTACTGATCTTTAGTTCGGACTGAAATAATTGTATTTAAGTTACAATGAAGTTTGCTGGGTTCAATGAATACGAATTTTTGTTAGATAGATCAATAGTGCTATGGGGCTGATTAAGCTTTTTTAAGATGGAAGTTATCTCTGAGGTATTGCTGCTGGAAAGAATGGTTAAGTCGTGAATATTTTTGTGTGGGTATTTGGACAAAATTGTGATTTGATCTTTTTGGATATTGGTGATATACCAAATAATTTTTGTGGATTTAATTTTTAATTTTAGTTTTAAATTAAACGTTGTTGTATTTACTTGATAAAAGTTGGTCATAGCATTTTACATCCTTTTAGGGACATAAATATTTATCTAGAGAATGATAAACAATATAAAAAATATTTAAATTTTTCTTATGAACTTGTTATTATTTTAAATTTTTGTTAAGGAAAATTTTGTGTTTTTAATTAAAAATGATTAAAATGCAAGTAGTTTTGTGCTTGGGTATATTATGATATCAAAAAGCAATCGGGAGTGAAGCAATTAATCGCTCTTCCGGTATACAAATTATGTTATTTGGTATTTTTATTTGCTGAAGAATTGTGTCAATTTCTGGAGTATATCGTCGAAAGAAGACGTATAATTCGTGTTTATCTTCTTTGGGTGTTTTGCTAGTATACTAATATGATTTTTTTCAGTGTTAGTGATATACTATATGATGTTAGAGACTTTGTTTCCTAATTTGAGCTTTAAATTTATTGTACTGACGTCAATTTTAAAATGTATTGACATTAATTTCACGATGTTTGTTTTCTTTTTCTTAAACCAAGATGTACTATTTGATTAATATGTCTTAGAGTAATGAAAACCTCTTAGGAATTATTGAATATTAACAAAGGTTATTAATAATAAGATAAGGAAATAAAAAAATTTCTTTGAGAAAAAATTTTTTTTTAAATTTTTTCTAAGTTTTTCAAGTTTTTTATTCGCTGAAACCTTAACTGAAACCTGAAACTTTGTTCAAGTGAAGTTTTATTGATGCTATGGTATGGTTAACAATATAACTATATGCCTTTATTGGTTATTATTGGTTCAAAACTTAATTTTTTTGTTAAAAATTTTTAGAAAATTTTTTGACTGAAACAATAATCTGAAATCTGAAACTATGGTAGCTGAAGTTGAGTTTTTTTAATCTTAAAATTTTCTATACGCTTTATTATATCTGGTTTTTGCTTTATCTTGCAAAAAAAGTACGAGAAAACCGAATCTTTTGATATCTTAAACTTAGTTTTTGGAAACTCAAACCTAAAACTCTTAAACTCTCTCAAACTCGGTGCATGAATATAAAAAGTTGGTTTTTGATAGCTGGTCTAGTGTAAATTGGAATTTTGAACAGGTTTGTAACTTCAAAATCAAAAAATTGTTTGCGGAAACCTAAGTTTTTGGGGCTGAAACTATGATTTCTAGAACTGAAACTATGGTTTGACCGCTTGGTTTTAGAGTTTTGAGATTGGAAATTTAGGTTGGTCTCTCTAATATATTTCTATTTCAGCAATAAAATTGCCAAAAAGATGAAAATTTTATCCTAAAACGACGATTTTAGTTTTCTGAAACTATAAGTTTGAGGGCTCAAACTAACACCTTCTAGAAGTTTTTTGAGTTTAAAAATTTGTTAGTGCATTAAGGATTCTTATTATCTTTCAATATTTTACAAAAAATTTTCTCGGGAAGCAAGATTTTTGGTTCTGAAACCAAAAACACCAATTCTGAAACGTACGTTTCAGCCTTAGGAACCAAAATTTAAAATTGGTTTGGTGGGTTTTAACACCGTTAGTTTTCTCTAGAAAGTCAAAATTCGGCGTTCGGAGCTCAATTTTGAGACCAAAAACTCAGTTTTTGTGTTCTAAAACCTGAAACTAACAAAAACGTACCGTTTAAGACCAGGTTTTTGACTTATGGCATCCAAATTTGGGTTTGACTAGTTCAACTTTTGCTGTTTTACCCGAATCCGTTTACAGAAACTTAAAATTTTGACCGGAAACTATACTTATTTTAACTGAAACGTTTGACCCTATTACTGAAACCTAGACTGAAACCAAAAATTTTGGCTGGTAAAAATCAATTTTTTAGTGCTTATGCTATCATATGAAACCTGTTTTATCAATATAAAGTGAATGTGTCAGTGTTTTAAACTTAGTTTTTGTTGTGAAACCTGATATTTTTGAGCTGAAACTAAAACTTGGTGTTTGGTGTTATGTGGTTAACGTTTAAGATTGGTTTTAGTGCAAAATCTTATTGTTTATTAGGTGTATATTTAAACTGTGTTAAAAAAACTAATAATTTATTAAAAAACACCCAAATCGTTCCTTCCTTCGTGGTTTTTGTTATTTTCTTCCTTAGTTTCAGTAATTGGTAGTTTTTTTGATGGATGATTTAGGTTTAAGTTATGTTAAGGTGGATAGAATTAAAATTAGTTTAAGAAAAAATGAGGATAAGCCTCGAGAAATGATGAAGGATTAGAATAAATAGCAACAAGCGTGGATGGTTTGAGATAATGTGATAAAGAATTCAATTTATCATACAATTTAGGGTACTCTTAGATCGCACATATGACCACTTCACCCCCTCGAAAAAATAATTGAAGATATTTAATAAGTTTTTGCGCACTTTAGTTTAATACAGAATTTCGTTAATTTTAGTGATGATAACTTTAAACTGAAGTTTCGGCAAAAGTTTAGTGGATTACTGGACAAAACGGGTATATCTTACTAGCGGACTTAGGCAGAGAACGATTCTTTCAGAAATTTTATATATTATTATAATAATAGAAAAAACTTAAGTTCATGAGCTAATGTCAGTTAGAAAGCCGTCTAAAAGACCTCGAGATGGAGGAATATCGTGGGCGACTGCTAGCTCAGGGGATGCTTTCGCAAGAACCCTACTAGGAATATCTGTCAAGTAGAAGACAATGAAATTGTGTTTCTATCGAAAGATACCAATTGTCTCTGGCTTTTTGAGGTTGGAAACTAATCTGACAAATACTCACAGATCCTAATAATAATATATTTTTTGAATTTTAAAAGCTGTTTCGAGTTTGTTGGAAAAGGACTTCTTAAGGAGTAGTTCTCTGCTGCGGTCGCACCAGTTTTACTAAGCGCTCATTGCTGGTTGAATGCTTAGTAATTTTATCCTAAATTATAAGTCTCACCTTAGATCGTCAAATTGTCTTGACAAAAAGTAGAGTAGAAACAATAGTTAGAAAAGGTACGAATTAATTAGTTGGTTAGATACAAAGCACTGGGTTATTAGATTATATAAATGAATCGAACAGCTTAAAGAGATATACCTATGAGGGGAGGTTGAGCTAATCTTATTTTGTTCATCAATATTTTATCTTCTTAATAAGGTTGGTGGCTGATTTGTATGTATGGTTGCCCTTGATTTTGTCCAAGTCAGCACTTCTGGTTGGGTCGTCTGAATCGTCTTGCCGTAGTCCTTTTGGGTACTTGTAGTCCAGACTTCCTCGGGTGTGCGTATCTCGAGTATCTCGATTTATAATTTTTCAAATCAAACTTAAAATGAGAAATTATTCTCTTTTTATAAGTGAAAAGGGCTAGATTAATTTTAGTGTTAGGGCAGAAAAGAAAAATTATAAATCGAGATACTCGAGATACGCACACCCGAGGAAGTCTGGACTGCAAGTACCCAAAAGGACTACGGCAAGACGATTCAGACGACCCAACCAGAAGTGCTGACTTGGACAAAATCAAGGGCAACCATACATACAAATCAGCCACCAACCTTAGTAAGAAGATAAAATATTGATGAACAAAATAAGATTAGCTCAACCTCCCCTCATAGGTATATCTCTTTAAGCTGTTCGATTCATTTATATAATCTAATAACCCAGTGCTTTGTATCTAACCAACTAATTAATTCATACCTTTTCTAACTATTGTTTCTACTCTACTTTTTGTCAAGACAATTTGACGATCTAAGGTGAGACTTATAATTTAGGATAAAATTACTAAGCATTCAACCAGCAATGAGCGCTTAGTAAACACCGCTCAACATTATTTTAAAAAATTCTCAAAAACGGCTAGCGTAATTGTTCAAAAACCACTCAAACCGCTCAAACCTTGCTTGAGATTGGGCTGAAAACCTCGGCTCGGGCAGTAATTAAAGGCTAACTATTTTTTGTGGCAAATAGTGGAGCAATTAATCTCTTTCATCATCAGAAGCTAATAAATCACCTAATCATCCAATGTAGTTGTATTTGATTGCAAAATCAAATTTTTACCAAAAAATTAACATTCAAGATTATATGTTTGCGATTAAATATCAGTACAGAAAAAACTAATAACTGCACAGTAACTAAATTCAGGATGGTGCAAGGTGAAAATTTTTTTTTCTTAGCATAACTTTATGAATTATACTCAACTTGAAGCGCTATTTATGAAACTGACTTGTCCTGATATATTCGGTAGTTTATAATGACAATTGAAGGCATTTAAAACATTTCTTCGAGAAAAACCACATGTTTTTCTCGAAGCCCTTTTTTACTCATTTTGAAAAAACTTCACTTACCTTTTACTGAAAAATAAAAAAAAACTGAAAAGAAAAATCAAAAATCAAATAAACCAAAATTTGTACTGAAAAACAAAAAAATGAAAATCCAAAATCAATATTATTTTGCAGAATATATTTTTTTAACTTTTGAAGTTTTTGATTCCCATAATAGCATTAAAATTTCAAAAAAAACTAATTTTACTAGAGTAAAATTAAAATTAAGAATAATTAAGCTATTGTAAACGGTAATTCTCTCCGATGATTATTTATCGTAGCTGATTTTGGGTGGCAAACAAAAACAAACAAAAAGAAAAAACTAAAACACACCCGAGTACAAAGTTCTTCTCCATTTTTCAAATGTTCGGAACAAAAACAACGTTTTTAGACTGAATAATTTGTGCTGCTTGTGCACTTAACCTTTTGTCGTACCCAAAATTTGCAATGTTTTGGCCAACAATAATGGTTTCATTTTATACAAAACAGCAGAAATGACAGCATAAAGGTGAATGACACTTTTAACGCTGGCCCATTGGATTCTGCGCGTAGAATATCCATCTTCTCTTTTTCATTGTAGACGATGTTTACTGTAGCAACTTCTTCGACAACTGATCTGACTTCCCGAGCATTGTTAGCAAGGGCTATGTTCCCAGTCAAAGCAACGTCCAGTAGACAATCCAGATTTGAACCACACTTCTGAAAATCATAAATCAAATTCAAACTATAATCTAAGACGCTTCAACTTTGAAGTTTTTCATTGGACTGACTAGGAAAAAATTATTTTTTGTTTCGACAATGAAATAAACGTAAACGCTCAGGAGTGTTTTTAACTCAAAACCAGATGCCACCAAAAATATTGAATATGTTATAAAAAAAACTTTTTGGTTTGGGACTCGAGCTGCAATGAAAAACTCCAAAAATGTTTTCTGGGAGACAAAAAGTAGCTTAAATTTGCTTAGCTTTTGAAACAATTTTGTGAAGAGCAAAAGATTTTATTTACCCCACTATTTTATTTACCCCAAGTTAACGATGGTAAAAAAACTATAAAAATTTATCCAAAAAATTTTAATGTGTCGATTTCTTTTGTTTTTAAGGTCCTCCAAATTGATTTTTCGAGCTCTCCCAAATCCTTAAGAAGACCCTGTTTTGGCCAAAATTTTTGCGCCGCAAGCAGATTTTTGAAAAAACAGGTCAAAAATGTCGTTTTTGAGTACTTTTTTGGAAAATTTCTACCAAAAAATGTTGCATTTTTTTTGGCGCGCGCTGCCCTCCAAAATTAGTATATACTAGCGTCAAAGGCCCCTTCAGAGCAGTTTTATGGTGGGTTGGCCTAAAATAGATTTCATTAAATAATACCAAATGGGGGACCTTTTGGTTTGTGAGGGGGTCGAATCCTAGCAAAAAGAGCGTCCGCAACACCTCCCGCCCCTTCCCCTAAATCAGCCCCTGAGTTTTACTCAGCCCCATTGACCTGAAAAGTGCTTTTTAAAAAAGTTTTATGTTGGTTTTTTTACTAGTTTTTTTTCTCTATTTTTTGCAAAAAAAAACAACTGTTTGGGGCTTAATGTGCTACTTTAAGAGCAGCCGATCTTTCTTCATACTACTTCATTTGAAACTTACTTCTTCAGCAATTTCCTTGAGCTGTTCGTCTTGGAACTGAGCTTCGTATACAGGCGAGTAGGGTGATCCCCTTTCTATATCACTGGCAATATTTCTGATTGCAGATGAACTGAACAACCAAAAATCTCGGGAAACCTCCCACGTATTTCCGAAATCAGTGTGAATGAAGCTCAAGTTCGAATCTGGAGGAAGTGTTAAACCATCTAAAATAAACATTTCAAATGTACCAGCTGTGGAAAAGCAGGATATCTGCAGACGTGAAAACTTCTTGACTGAAGATCCAGCTTAGCCAGTGCATAACTTTGCGTTGCATAATTTTGCCTGATTTTAAAAAATTAAATAAGAAACAATAAGTTCAGCTTAAAAATTTTGCTACACCGTAGAAAATGAAACAGGCATACTGAATGTTTATAGAACTGAAAGCGTCTTTTTGAAACAGATTTTGGAAGTGAATAAAAAAAAAGAAACTAATCGATTACAGCATTGTTAATGACTTGAATCCAAAATCAAGGAAAAATCTAATTTGCAAAGACATGTAAAGTGGTCGAGTTTGATAATTCTCATAATATTAAAGCTATGCTCAAATGCAGTTGATATATTTTTCTTACCTCTAGAAGTCAAGTCATTAGATGAAATCCCGTCGAAGTTTCCGAGCAAACCTTTTGATCTGCCCTTTGCGTATGCAGGAGGCGCAACCCCGATGTTGAGAAAGTTATCACTTCCTAGAGAAGCCGAGATGATCAAGCCAGATTGCAGCATGCGAAAAGTGAATTCGGTTAAAGAAGCCTGTCGGCTTAGCGATACAAGTACTCCGTCTTTTCCTATTTGCGGTTTCTTCTGAACAAAATGAACCAATTAAATTTTCTGTAGTATTAAATTTTGCAATCTCGACTTTTCGAAAGTAAAAAAAACGAAAGCTCATTAATTCAATTTTTTTTTGAAAATATTTTCATAACAGAACGTCAAACAAAAATCTCTATAAAGACCTCATTTTGACCAATTTGTGTGCGCCGCAGGCAAGTTTTTGAAAAAAAAAACAAGCCAAAAACGGCGTTTATAGGCACTTTTTGGAAAATTTTCGACCAGAAAATGGCGTTTCTTCGGCGCGCGCTCTCCCCTCAAAACTAGTATTTTTTGAGGGGAAAGCGCGCGCCGAAAACTTTAGGGTCAGTCAGCCAAAAATGGCTATCACAAAATAGTACAAAAGTGGACCCTTTGGGTCGGCAGGAGGTCGAATCCCTGAGAAGGGGAGCGTCCTCTCCTCCCCCCTCCCTCCTCTAAATTCGCTGGTGGTTCAAACTCGAGCCCGTAAATTTCAACCTCATTTAAAACCCTTGATGATTATTTCAAAAAACGTGAAAATTAGTCCAAAAGTTTGCATTTTCTGCGCCATAGAGCTTTTTTTTAGATGATTGTGATCACGAAGTTGCGTTTTTTTTCGGCGCGAGTCCACGCCGCCCCCATCTTCAACATGTATTGGCGCCATAAAGGTCTTCAGGAGTTGGTGAGCCAAAAAAGGATGCCATAAAATAGTACCGAATGGTTTGCTACGCGCTCGGAAAAAAAGAAAATTCCACACGCTTTTACTAACAGACATTGATAAGCTCAGATAAATCAGTACTAATAAAAGATAGCTTAGAGCATTGATAATCGTTAGTTGTCAGTCATTAAAGAAAAACTTACGTCAAACTCTAATTAAAAAGGCGAAGCTAGTCGGGACGAAACAAGGCTGCTCGCATATCAGGGAAAAATCCTGAATCTTTCGAATGCCGTATAAATGGAATGAATAAAATTGAATAACAAATTGCTATTTTTGTGTTAATTTTTCAACGTTTGGCCTTCAACGGCAATAAAAAATTGTTGCTGTTACGACTTCAGTCGTATAAAAAATTGATTTGACCAAACAGTTTGCCTCAATTCCGCAATTTGGAACAATTTTCAATGCAAGATATATTGCCATGCATAAAAACTTGTGTTTATAGAGAGTTGCAAAAAGTTCGGACAGACAGAATTAATTAAAAAGAGCAATTGTCTAGAGATCAACGGAAATTAAAACTGAAATAAACATAACATCGAAATTTCATAAGTCAGAGTTACGGGATCTACTTAACAATCCCCATTTCAAGAAAGCGGAGGAGATTGTTAATTAGATTACTGGCAGCAAACTTTCGACCAATCAGAATGCAGCAAAATTTCATTTTACATTCAATGCTCTAGTGCACATCTACAGGGGTCGAGATTCTTTAGTAGATACAATAGGGGGAGGGGAGCGAGATTGCTATAACCACGGCAGGCAATTGCATCCGAAGCGTCGAACTGTTTTATAGTAAAATCTGGATGTTCATCGCATTATTTAAAAACTAGGCTAGCATAATCATCGGATAACCGACAACCTCGCTTTTTGAATTTAGTCTGACAAAAAACTCAAGGTTGTTCGGCTTCAGATTTTGCATGCAAAAAAGAGTCGAAAAGCACTGATTGCTAATTTTAATTAATTCTGTCTGTCCGAACTTTTTGCTACTAATTATATGTGTAAACTTTCAAAGCGCGTTTAAATTAGTCCAGAAAGTTGCCAGTTTGGCAGTCCTTAACCGCCCTCAGAATTTTATCGAAAGGACCGCACGTGAATAAACTTTCTACCTTTTAAGTCAGGGAACTTATACCATGTTTTTTCAAAATTTCAAAGAAAGATTGATATTTTGACTGCTGAAACTAGTCTGAGTGCATTATATTCTATATTTATAAAATTTGATGCTATGCTGATGCAAGAGTGCTCATACTCCGTGCTTTGCTCTGACCACTAAAAGTGAGGAGGAACTTTGTCTTCGGGGCAATTTTAACTATTTTTCAGCGCAAAATTGGGTACCACGAACAATTATCGACACAAATAGAGTGATGAAACAAATTAAAAATTTTCAGTCAAAATTCATACGACATACGATTTTTCCGAAGTTTGTCACTAGTGTCGAGAAAAACTGGTTCGAAGTTTTTGATTTTCAGTCTAGTTTCATACAAACTATGCCAGTTTTTGAGCAAATTAAGCTTGTAATAGCTCCTTAAAAATGCCGAACTTGAAGTTATTGCAGTGAAGTTAGTTTTTAACATTTTTTTGACGCCTTTGCGAGAAAATTTTCTGCCAAAACTTTTTTTTAGTTTTTTTTTCACTTTTTTTTTCAGAAAATTTCGTTTGATATGTCTAACTTACTATAACTTTCAATTATATCTAAAATTTAACGGGACAGTTTGATATGTCTAACTTACTATAACTTTCAATTAAATCTAAAATTTAATGGGACAAAAACGAAACAGTTTGATTTAACAAAATGTTGTTGTATACTTTTTCAATTATTGCTATGGGAACTTTATCTGCTATTTGCACAGCAACCAGTTATACTTCTTTTATTTGCTTCTAGTGCTTTGTAAAAAAAATTGGTTTTCTGAAGTTTTGATAAAATATTTTATCAAAACTAGGATAGAATGTTGCTGAGCAAGTAGCAAATTAAAACAATTTGTTTTTCACTTAAAGATCATTATAAAACTATTTAACCGCATATAAATAGAATTTTTGTTTGTTGTTGTTTTCCTTTTTTGGTCACATTATAAAATACTATATTATAAGTGCTGAATGAAAGTTCCAAAATTATTTTTTTTTGGAAATATCACGTTGTTGGTTTTCTCGAGAGGGGTGGGTCTTTCAAAATTTTTTTTTCAAAATGCGTTTTTTTTTGGCGGGTGCTCTCCTTCAGAATTAGTACATATTGACGCCGAAAACGTGTTCAGAACAATTTTAGGGTTGATCGGGCGAAAATGGATGACATAAAATAATATCAAAAGGTGACTTGTGGTTATTGAGGGGAGGCGACTACCCGAGGGCGGGGCGTCCGCCACCTGTCCACTCTAAATCCGCCAATGCTAAATGACCAATTTCGAAGTTACTCGATCATTTTCTCATTCGAAATAAATTAAGGCTCAAAAATTTCAAACCAATTTTTTTCTCGGCACTGGGACAACTTTTTCACAATTTTGAAATGATGTTCTATTGACAAACAAACTGGATTTCAGGTAAAATATCACTCGACCCATTTTGATGATGATTTCGCGTAACTGATTTTGCCTCGAAAAAAAAGAAAAATGAAAAAACTTAAACACATGAATACAAAGTTCTTTCCAACTTTCAATGGTCGGAACAATAATAGAATTCAATATAATTACTCTTAAGAAGTTGTGTCCTAGGACATTCTCGTGGATTTAAAATAAGTACATTTCTAACAGTTAATAACAGGGACGGAACAACGATTTCCTTCAAAAAAGGGGGCCTCTTTTCAGAAAGTTGTCATAAAACATCAACTTGTCAAAAAGCTGTGGTAACTTTCTACATTTGCTGATGTTTTGACGTATGACAGCTAATTTGTGAAAGTTTTGCAAACTTATTTTAGACAAATCATTAAAATGAGCTACAAAAATTCATTTAGCAATTCGAAATGAAAATTTGTCAATAATTTCTCCTCGTAGGAAAACTTCATTCGCTTAGGAATAATAAATACTTCTCTGCTTATGCATGCTTCTGTCTCCACAACCCTCGAGTTCTGGTCAAACGGTAGTTTGGTTCCATTTATGGAAATCGAAACTTTGCCGGTGTCAGCTAACTGAAATAACTCGGCCGAAGTAGAATTATCCGAAGCGACGAATCCACTGAACACAGTACCGTTGCCCATTCTTCTAGTGCTGATTTGCATTGTCAGATCTGATGTTTGATACTTATCGGATTTTGAAACTTCGAACATGGTATAAACTCCCAAACCGTTGAATGTGTACTTGAAGCCATCTAGCGACTGGAAATGCGGATCCCCTGTGTTAATAACACGTCTTGGCGGACTGTATTGGCCTATCAGAGTTGGTCTTTTAGCGTAGTATTTCTTACATTTATGTTCATCTTCACAGCAAGACATGAAAAATGAAAACTCAGCCATGAAAAAGCTGAACAGATGGTCGTCATTGTTAACAGATCGTTTCACTGTCCCCGCGCCTTTGAACGAGTTAGTTAATAGCATACCATTAATATCGTAGCAACACTGGTTCGAAATGGTAGTTGGTTCATACCGCGTCTCTCCGTCAACAAAATACGTTTCGTTTATGAGCACTGGCGATGATTGGATGCAAAAATCAGCACCTGGATTCATTTTACAGTTCTTGCAGAAATCAAAGAGTGAATTATCAGATCCAGGGCAGCAAGGGTCCATGATCCACCAACCTAGTCTGACTTCAACTTGGGCAAACCAAGCATCATTTCTTCCACTTACACTTCCAGAGTTCCTGGGGCATCCTAGTTTTGCAGCACTTTCTTTCCAGTCAGTATTTTTCCTTTTCTTTTCACGATCATTTTCATTTGAAAGAAATGAATTGCATTTGTTTGTTGGTCTTATCATTATGATCGGATCTGGTTGGCTGATGGGCATATCGGCTAAAATGTTTTATTTGCGACTTTAGTTAAGTTGATTTTCGCGGGAAAAGGAAAAGTGATCGAAATTTTTTGAAGCAGTAGTTCTGAACTAAAAAATAAATTTGAAAAGACTGCTTGTATGTCAGAGCAAAGCCCTGAATGTTCCGACTGTCGCTTAATTCATATCGAACAGTTTTTAGGAAATGAAAATATTGAAAACCTATACATTTTGGACAATATCAAAGCTGTGTAAAATTTTGATTTGTACGAAATTGATACGACCGTTTAGCTAGCCTCAATTCATTTTGGAGCGGTTTTTGTCGTGCGCGATAATTCGCCACGCATAAATAATTTCCGTTACGCTCTCAGCAATATGAATAAATTCTTCAAAGCGCGCATAATTTAGTCCAGAGCATGGCCAGTTTGGCAATTTTCAAACCCCGAGAACTTAACAAAAAAATTGGAGGTAAAAGAAGTAGATGTTTTTAAATTTGAACGCAGGGAGTCGATATCTTCAATGGGGTATAATAAATTTTTGTCGAACAAGTACAAATGTGACTCACCTGCATCAACTGAACGTTTTGTAAGTTTATGAACTTTTAATTATTGTCGACCAGGTTGGACTAATTCCCGGGTCGAGGTCAGTATGTTGCAACCATTGCAACTCAAAATGGTTATGTTGCAATTTTAAGCGACCAAAGAATTTCTATGCGATTTTGCGCGGCCCAAAAAAGATTTGTTGGGACTTTGCGCGACCCATAAAAGGTATGTTGCAACCATTTCGACTCAAAATGGTTATGTTGCAACTTTATGCAACCAAAGCAATTCGCACTACTTTGCACGACCCAAAAAGGTATGTTGCAACTCAAAATAGGCAGCTGTTGCGCGACCGAAAAGTTTGAGCGACTTTGCCCGGCCCAAAAAAAACATATTGCGATTTTGCACGACTCAAAAACGTTTTGGTTGCGAGTTTGCTCGACCGAAGCGCCGAGTTTGACAATTTTCAAACCCCGAGAACTTAACAAAAAAATTGGAGGTAAAATATGTTTTTAAATTTGAACTCAGGGAGTCGATATCTTCAATGGGGTATAAAAATTTTTTGTCGAACAAGTACAAATGTGACTCACCTGCGTCAACTGAACGTTTTGTAAGTTTATGAACTTTTAATTATTGTCGACCAGGTTGGACTATTTCCCGGGTCGAGGTCAGTTACTTATGTTGCAACCATTGCAACTCAAAAAGGTTATGTTGCAATTTTAAGCGACCAAAGAATTTC